TGTACCCCCAAAGTGCATCAATGTACACAGTTACCATTCAATAAAAAAAAAAAAAAAAAAAAAAAAGATTTACATTAACCTATAATGAGACCAAGTTTGTTTTGCAACAAGATAGCAGCCCACTAGATTTTTTAGATGAATGTGTTTTCACTAATTGAATGCTTAAACTTTGGTATTTTGAATCAAATTTTACTTATGTAAAAAGTATCAAATGTTGGGTGGCGCCTATGGCTCAGTGGGTAGGGCGCCAGCCCCGTATATTGAGAGTGGTGGGTTCAAACCTGGCCCTGGCCAAACTGCAAACAAACCAAAAAATAGCTGGGCTTGGTGGCGGGCGCCTGTAGTTCCAGCTACTCTGGAGGCTGAGGCAAGAGAGTTGCCTAAGCCCAGGAGTTAGAGGTTGCTGTGAGCTGTGTGACGCCACAACACTCTACAGAGGGCAATAAAGTGAGACTGTCTCTACCAAAAAAAAAAGTATCAAATGTTGAACAAAATGTTTATACATTTATCAAATAGGTTGAGTATTTTAAAATTTAATTTCACTAGTTTCATCGTCTATCCCATTTTGTTTTTACTCCTTTGTGCTGGGTGGAGTTTGTGCTTCATAAAACTACAAATTAAAGTCATTGCCTGGGCATTTAATATTCAGATCCTGGTGGTATTTATGTTACTGTGCAAAATACCTAAGTAATTTAGCAGAGGTCTTAATTCTTTTCTACAAGACTAATTTCAAATTGTCGATAAAGAATTATGTATTATCACTTAGGAATTATAAATTTCTAGCCATCAGTTTAACAAATCTCAACCGTTAACAACCTTCCAGTCCCCACTGTTACAACCTTACAATCCCCTCCCCGAGAGGTTTACTTCTCAGATTGTAGTTCTTCCTCTGTAGATAACATGGATTTCTTTTGCTATTGCCTTGACCATTTGTGTTGGTTTAGGATTTATCCTTTGCCCATTTCTGCAAAGATCTTGAAGCTCTGATGATGTTTCTCTAGATGCTGGCCTGTCTGTTTTCCGTCTAATCGTTGTATGATCCTGAGAGTTAATGCTAGATGATCAGGGAATTGAAGAATAGAGGGTAAAACACACTGGCCATATTTAACTTGCTGCAGCCAGAGATTTATAGCTTGGTTGTTGACATGGCTGGGACATCACTGCTGAATTTTCTGAGTATTAAAATTAATGTCTTTGTTGCAGGGCTGTGACATAGCTACTGAAATAGACATCATCCATCTACCGGGCCACTAAATTGCCCTGATTAGCAAGAATGATCCATTGAGTTTTCTCTTTACATGTCTGCTGCCTCCTCAGAGTGTGGTCTGCACATAAAGTGTATTTCCTTTGAGTCACTCAGGAAACTATGTGGTAGAGTATAAAATGCCAGTTCTGCCACTTACCAGCTCTCTGGCCTTTAGCAAATCACTTAATCTTGTAGAAACTCACCTTCCTCATCTTTAAAGTGGGCAGTTGCATGCCTACCTTCTGAGAGGACCAGAAATCATGTAAGTGTGTAAGTTAGGGTTCTTTTGGTTGCAGGCTACAGAATCCAACATTGAGTAGTTTGAGCAAAGCTATAATGAAAGGGAGTATTGACTGGGAGCACATTGGGCGTGCTCACAGAGCCCACACAAGCTGGAGCAGCCACACTGGGGACGGTAGAAACCGTGGCCCCATGGATCTCAGTAGCAGAAGTAACCGACTTTAGGGTTCTGTCTTTTCTGTGACCCAGACCCAGTGAAGTTCCTGGGAGAGAGCTGTATGGGTTTAGTATGGGCCCGGGGCCTGGCTCACAAGGAGGAGGCATCTTTCTGGGACCTGCTCTGTGTTTGACGGATGGTTCTCAGAAGAGGTGGGGGCATGGTGAGCTGGGTGGTCATTCCAGGGGCTGTGGGGGGACACAGTGTAGAGCAGACACAGCAGGCATGTGGAGTGGCAAGTCTGCTCTGTGACGAGAGGCCCGCTGGTTGTCTGTCTGGCTGTCTGGCTGTCTGGGCTGCTTGTTTGAGGGCT